TGCAATCATGACCCGTGCTCCTAATGTTCATCCAAAGAGGGATGGCACATATTGTTTAAGGAAATATTAGGCATTGTCTTGAGCATCTTCCTGAAATCCGTATTTAAGAATTAAGACTAAGTTGATTTGAGACAATTAGTGTAAACTTGAATAGAGGGATGCCCTCTATGTTTTTGTTGCACTGTGTTTAATTCTGCTGGTTCCTGCTACTCGTTAGTAGTTGTTACTATCTTAGCTTATTGTGATATTTATTTACTTCTTTTCCCTTTCAAGTACTTGTTGGGAATGTGATAATCAGGTGTGTACTTGCTGTGAATGTGATAATCATGTGCTCTTACACGCCTTTTATTATTTAGTGTTTCTGGCTTGCTTATTTTATTATTTAGTGTTGCTGCCTTGCTGCCTTTTATTAGGCAGAATGGCAGTTGGCAGTTGGCAGATTATTTAGTGTTGTGGTGCTGCCTTACTTACACACCTTTTGTTAGGCAGAATGGCGGATTTGATTATTTGGTGTTGCTGCCTTTTGCTTAATGCTTAGGCTCTTAGCACTTAGCACTACGACACATGAATATGTATTAAACCGAAACTGTACCGAACCAAAATAAAAAATACCGAACCGTACCGAAATACTTTGGTACGGTATTTGGTATACACAATTGATAAACCGAATATCGAAATACCGAACCAAAATTCTTAAATATCGAACCGAAATACCGAATGCCCACCCCTAAACCTTTCAAGGTTGTCACTTTCTCTTTTCTGCTACCAAAGATGGTAAGCTATCAGGAGTCAAAACTTTCGTGAGAACGAACTATTATTCATCTGATCAATGCCAAAATAGTTGTTACACTAAAACTTGGCGTTACGCCGTTTGATTCACAGTTAGGTGATCAAAACAGGAACAATACATTTAATGTTAAGAGTCCCACATTGGTGTGGATGCTTAGTCTCCTTATATGGTCTTGGTCAATCCTCAACCCACCTTATGTTAAGGGGTGTCAATTGACATCCTTTCGCCGGAAAATTACACTGTTTAGCTAGTTCAAAAAATTATTTTTATGTATATATATTATTCCCTCCGTTTCAATTTATGTGAACCCATTTGACTGGGCACGGAGTTTAAGAAAAGAGAGAAAACTTTTAAACTTGTGGTGTAAAATGAGGCACATATATTTTGTGTGGCTATAAATCATTGCATAAAGGTAAATTGTTTCCAAATAGAGAAAGGGGTCATTCTTTTTGGCACGGACTATAAAGGAAATAGGTTCACATAAATTGAAACGGAGGGAGTATATGTTGACTCCCCTTATTTTCTTCGTGTATTTACCTTTTTGTATTTTGACACCCCTTAGTAAATTTCTAGCTCTGCCACTACTCACAAGTCAGCTTTTAGGGTCGAAGGTCCATTTCTTATCACAACTAATTCTCCGAAGGTACCAAATAACAAGTCAATGACTTGATAGGTATACCATATTAAGAAAATATTACATGTTAGATTGACTGATGACATGATTTCTTTGTCCTGGTCTCCAGTTAATCTTGATGTGAAACAAATTTGTCAAATACCCCTTCTTATCCTAGGACACCATCAAAATCCACCATGTATTGTTAATAGTTGAAACTCATATTCATACAATTATAGCCCAATCCTTCCACTAAATTCATTGAAATGCAACTGCATCGAATATGCTAGGGCGCATCTAAATATCACTATGCAAGTTCAGTGCACTATGGCATAACTGAATATCATTACGCAAGTTCATTATTATCTAGTTTTGCTAACTGCAAACCCTGGGAGTCAGTTTGCTCTAATGATTGTTAGTGTATTTACATACCAATCCCATTGCCACTCATTTCCACATCCGTTTTCCATCAACACACTTTTGGATCAAAACACGACGGTCCTAAATATTGGTGGGTGGAGTTACCGGGTACCATGAGAGGTAGTAGGTACCCGATGTAATAGCTGAGGTGCGTGCAAGCTACCAGGACACCAACGTTGTTCTAAAAAATAAACACTTAGGTCCTAGATTTCATTCTTGAGACCTTTGATATTTAATCATTTCATATAGTAGCTGAAAAACTAAATTAACTGCAAAAATTTAGGCTAAAACTGTACTTTTTTTTAGATTGAAACATAGGATAAAACTGCACTTCTTTTTCAGATTGTAACATAGGATGAAACACATACCTGTTGAAAAGCTCGGAAGCATAACGAAACCCATTGTAACACATAAACCACAACAACACAAGCACCAAAATATCTAACAGCGTTAAGAACTCCAGATCTACCCAAAATCTGATCTTTATATCTATCATTTAACAATTAGTAGATTACAGATCAGCAAAATAAATTGAAATTTATAAAGATTAAAGTCACATCAGATCTATTAAGCGAGTAACTAAAAAAAAATTAAAAAGGATACTGAAGAGGCAACGTTCCCACCAGTCGAGCATGTAAAGACCAAAAGTGACATTGTAGAGATAGATTTTGCGTTGAATCCAATTCATTTTCTCCCTTACAATCCTTTAGCAGAAAAATTGAATAGTGAAAGTGGAAATGTGATAATTGTAAAGATGAATTTCTGCTTGATTGTGCTGCCTTTTAAACAACGGTTAGCCTCCGAATTAGAATTTTCCTCTTTCTGCAGTCTCCTCGTCAACTTTTCTTTGTCATTTTCTTGTGATCAATTTGCATATCAACTTCGGCAAAAATGAAATTACATATGATCCGTTGGGAAAAGAATATTACACATGACCTCTCAATCTTCTATTTATGACGGACCATTGTGATTTACTAAGATAAAATGACAAAACTGGTCCCTTAGGTTTGTGATAGGTTTAAAGTAGGCCCTTAAATATCTTCTTAGCAGTTTTGGTCCTCAAGTTTGCTCCGCCAAATATTTAATAAAATCTATCTATTAAATTTAACAGGAATGCTTAAAAATAAAAGTTCATCGGAAACATCAAGAAAGTCTCGTCAAATCACTAAAATTTTAGCACCAAATATTACATCAAACACTGAAAATAAAGCAAAAAAATAGAAATTACACTTTAAAAAGTTGCACCAAATACCAAAAATAAATAAAATAAAAATAGCAGAAATGGCAAAGTCTACACCTTCAAATTGAGTTCCCATCCATAATTCTCTTTAACTTTAATAGAAATAATTTATTAATATCTGAAGGAGACCAAAAATATTAACTTTTGAAAAAACTTAAAGAACCAAAACAACTTAGAAGATATTTAACTTTGAACCTATCCCCAAACTTAAGAAATATTTTTTGTCATTTCTGGATTTACTAGAGTCTAGAGGTGCCAAAAATATACCCCTATTACTGGTGATGTAAAAACAGATATTTACACAAAAATCATCTAAGTAATATTAGCTGGTAACATGATAAAAATGATAAGACCTACTATCATATGTTAAATTTACTTAGTATAAAAAATATCTTTACATGTATATGGCATACATCCTTATTTTTATCATTTTTGGGTGTCGGGGTAAGCTTGACTAGTTTATAAACCTATTTCCTTTCGTAATAGCGAAATTTTATTTAAGTACTTAAATTTATTTTTCTTGGCAATAATGGATGTCATTTAAGTACTTGAATTTGTATTTTGACAGAGGGAGCGGGAGGTAAAGATCTAGAATTTTTGAAATTAGTTTTTTGGTAATAATAAATTAAGGGTCATTTAAGTCCACAGCTAAGTTTGGGAATTTCACTAACGAATACACGTCAACTTGTGTCATCGACTTTTTAACCATCTTTTATCTAGGGTGAGATGCGACACAATATGCCCGAGTGCGAAAAGAGAAACAGATTGAATAAAACAGCGTTGATGATAGTCCTTTTGTAAGAAAAAGAGCTAAAAATGCGTTGATATTAGCCTTTCCTTTTGTAAGAAACAAAAGTAGATACCCTATGTGAATATTTGTATGTTTCCAAAACAGTAATTGATCAAGTTCGTTATATCCATGAATGTACTAGAACTTGAATATGAATATCATGTTTTAAACCTTCTTGTTCTTCTCTTCCTGACTATGTCAACTTCTATAAATCTATAACTAAAACAGAGACAGAATCCAGCCGAGCGGCATCGACTTGCAACTTTCGTTTGTCAAAGAAATCCCAGTAAATATCATGTATAGATAAACATCAGTCAAATATTGAAAGATCCTTAATTATTACATAACCAATCTCTACTGTAACAGTTGGGCGACCTGCGGGTAATAGGAACACCTTCTAATCCATTGGAACATTCTTTCCAAGACTGATTCTAGCCGCTGTAAGCATAAAAAACTAGAAGATTACACTACTATTTCCATGAAGCGGAATTTTAAAAAATTAAAAAAAGGAAAATAAACAAGTGAAGCAAGAGCATTCAGATTTTTCACTGGAGAAAAATGAAACAGTATGAAGACCTGAGACTGTACTTGCATCAATTTTAACACTGTATGGACAAGCACAAACGTCCTCACGTTTAAAAACTATAGAACTTAAATTATCTACCACCAGCAACACATAAGTCCAACCTAAATGGATATATAATTCAGAATTAAATGAACAACTTCAAAAAGAAAACCAAAAACCAAAAAGAAAACGGAAATGGGCTATACTTCTAGCACTAGTCCAAGAGATTAATTCCTTTAAGCCATCCAAGAGCCCCCCCAATAGGTAAGACTCGACGAGCACTTATCATAGTGGGTGGGTACAACTAACCATCATAGTCCCCCTCGTAGAACTTGTTTTCTGGATAGAAGACAGCAACAACTTGGTTGCCACCAAATTTTCTTCCATTCAAACTTTGCCTAGCTTTGCTGGCACTGTCGACATCCGCATACTCCAAAAATACCTAAAAGGTACATAAACGATTTAGAAGTTCCACATTCAGAAGTGAAAAACAACATTACCATTGACTAAAGAACCAATGCACTTGGACCCTTCTTTCAATTGGCTGAAATTAGTCGTCATATGAGGAAGTAATAACTAGTCACAGTGAAAAGCCACGACAGAAATTACAAGGCATTTTTAGATGGTCATTGCAAAGATAATTAGATCTAGGTTGTATCACTTCTCTTGTAACAAATACAGGATCACTACTAACAACTTATAAACTTTAAATGATCCAGGCTAAGAAATCTGCAGGTATATTTTTACCTTTCCAACCCCTGGTGTGGGCTCGCCATTAGGACTTGGACGTGGAATAACAACATTCACCAGAGATCCTGCAGAATATATGTCAAAGTGGAAGTTGTTAACAAGTATTGCTGCCAAACATTAAGCCATATGCTTAGCACAACAAGGAGAAAAGATCATCTTATCTAAATACCCACCAAATTTCCCACATTCAGTTCTCATGTCTTCCAAAATATCTTGATAGTCCTCATCGTCATTGAGCTCATCTGCACTAACGACTTCTGTTAAGCTCAGGACCTTTGTGGCTAATGTAGCAGGTTGTAACATGAGTCTCTGCGAAAGAACATACATTAAGGGGTGAGCAGCCAAGTCCTTGTGTAAGAAATCAAATCCTAAGGGATGGAGAGTTGAACTAGAAAGCACAGAAATGGCTCACCTGCAAAGCTATCTGCTGTTGTGCATGCAACAATACACTCTCTTGCTCGGGTTTAGGTTGTGTTGTACCCTGGTTAGCACGCCTAACAGTAAGGGTTTTATCACCCATCTTAATCCCATTAAGAGCTGCACAAGCAATATCAGTAACAGAGACATCCTGATAGACACAGAAGGCATAGCCTTTTGAGTTCCCAGTTTCTCTATCTTTGACCAAATCAAATCCTCTAAGTGGACCAAAAGACTCTAACAGCTCTCTAATCTGTGCTTCTGTGAAATAGTAGGGCAAACCACCAACAAAAATACGATCAGGACCTTCCAGCCCTCCAGCAGAACCTGGGCTCAATCCAACAGCTGCCAGGTTGAGGTTTGGGTTTGGTTGGCTAGGACCAAGAGTAGCAGCCAGAGAAGGATTGTAATCACTCGGTCTTCTGACCTTACAGGGTGCGCCCTGGACAAAAAATGCGTGCACAGAGAAGCTCACAGCAGTCAGTTGAAGGTATCAACATATACTTGATGTTGGATAAAGAATTATCCAGTAACATCTGATAAGCTCCAATAACGATAAATAAATGACTAACAAACAAACAAAAGAGAAAGAAACAGGTTTGAGGATATCAGCTCTTATAACGGGAAGGGGATGAAAGATGTTGCTTCCAAAATTTTCTTGGACTAAACAAGACTCAAGGGATAGAGAATAGTTGCATATCCGTAAAACTATAAGTTTCGACACCCTTGCTTTCTCCCAAATGGATAAACCACCTACACAAGAGGTCAAAGGTCTATCTTCTTTAAATCATAACTAGTTGATCAGCTATTACACATTCAGGTACCTCAAATATAATGCCATCCAATGCCATGGCATTACTAGCTTCCTCTACTGATCTCATTTCAACAAAAGCAAACTTCTTTTCATAGTTTATATAGACATTGACAACAGCATCCCCTGAAAATTTTCAACAATACTCTGAGCATCTGAAAGGTAAATTTAGTTGTACCAAAGGAGAACAAATATTAAACTAACCTGGACCAGCTGTGTTTCCTCCAATTGCAGACATAACATGACTAAAGAAGGTCGCAACAGACTGTATGAGAATCAGTGTGTCAAGACAAACAAGAGGCATGTAAGGGAGCAATGTCAGAGAAAGGTCATAGAAAATCAGCTTTAACCATGCGGTACAAAATGGAAAACTACATGCAGATTTTCTCTCTTAAGAGATAGTGACTTCAAGGGATATCTTCAAAACAAATATCAGCTATTTGACATTAGAAATAATAACAATAGCACATGGAATGAGGCTGGTTCTGTGAGATTTTACTATAAATTATTTCAAATTATTAATTCTTTAAACATAGACTTGAATAGTACTTTGAGCACCATTCAGAAAATCACCACTACCATATTTACATAGAGAGTAATAGTAAAATAAATGAAATGACCAAGAAAGATTTTCACGGCGGTGACAGTAAGAAAGGTACTACTACTGATGTCATACTATGTCAACAGTAAATCAGATGAAACTAAGTTATACTGATCGAAAAGACGGCGTAACAAATTTTACCTCCACAAAATGTAATAAGTACTAAACCACATTAAAAATATTGAAGTGATTCTGAAAGATATCAAAATATGAAAAGGAACTAAGTAACTTCCCTAATTTGAGCAGCCAAATTTTAAACAGCCCAAGTCAAGTCACAAGAAATTCCAAACTTGGACCAAAGTGACTCCAACCCCACATAATATCTCTCATATTTGAAGGCGAAAAAAGGTGAATAACTCGGACACAACTAAAACTAAAAGGGCATCCTGGTGCATAAAGCATCCCGTGTTCATGCAGGGTCCGGGGAAGGGCCGCACCCTAATGAGGTGTGATGTAGGTAGTCTACCCTGATGCAAGCATCAATGGCTGATTCCATAACTCGAGCTTACAGGTTAACTACTATGCAATAAATACAGGAGAGTGTTCATCTAGTTTGTTTCAACAAATAAACAACAACAATACCCAGTATTATCCCACACCGTGGGCTTTGGAGAGGGTAGTGTGTACGCAAACCTTACCCCTACCTTGTGACGATAGAGAGGATATTTCCAATAGACCCTTGGCTCAGGAAAGCATAAGCACCACATTAAAATATAGACAAGAAGAGACAGTACCAAAAAGCCATATAAAAACAGAATAAAGACAACAAGATAGTAAGGTGATCAACAATGAAAGAAAACAACGGTTAGTTATAAAAACTTACTACCAACAGAAAACGAGACTGCGTGCCAATACTACTATTATGAACACCCTAGACTACCTACTCTACTACCCTAATCCTCGACCTCCATACCTTCCTATCAATGGTCATGTCCTCGGTCAGCTGAAGTTGCGCCATATCTTGCCTAATCACCTCTCCCCCACCTTTCTTTGGCCTACCTCTACCTCTCTGTAGGCCCTCCAATGTCAACCTCTCACACCTCCTCACTGGGACATTTGTGCTCCTCCTTGCATGACCAAACCACCTAAGTCGCGCTTCCCGCATCTTGTCCTCAATAGGGGTCACACCCACCTTATCGCGAATAACCTCATTTCTGATCCTATCTAACCTGGTGTGTCTGTACATCCATCTCAATATCCTCATCTCTGCTACCTTCATCTTCTAGACATGAGCGATCTTGATTGGCCAACACTCAGTCCCATACAACATCGTTGGTCTGACCACCACTTTGTAAAACTTACCTTTAAGTGTCGGTGGCACTTCTTATCACACAAAACATCAGAAGCGAGTCTCCATTTCATCCATCCCGCCCAAATACGATGCGTGACATCTTCATCAATCTCCTCATCCCCTAAATAATAGACCCGAGGTACTTAAAACTTCCTCTCATAGGGATGACTTGCGAGTCCAGCCTCACCTCCCCTTTCCCTCCTTGAGTCTCGCCACTGAACTTACACTTCAAGTATTTTGTCTTGGTCCTGCTCAATTTGAAACCTTTAGACTCCAGGGTCTGCCTCTATACCTCTAATTGCGCATTCACACCATGTAATTATGGCCAATATTTTGGCTAATGGAGTCCATCTCACATAAGCATAAGTATCTTTGCAAAGTGTAGGCTTTGTTGGCATTATTCTTTGGGACCCAAAAATGTTGCATTGTGTGGTGGACATCATTTGCATAAGTTGTATCTCTTCTTTTACACCTAAGAGGCCAAGACTTTTTTGCCTATAAAAGGGAAGGCCATTAGTTCATTTTATACACACCAACAAGACTTGAGTCTTCATTTCTTGTTTCTTCTTTTCCTCCTTTATTAAGAGTGTTTTGTATGAGAGTTAAGTGTTGGAAAGCATTTGTGTGAACCCTTTCTTTGGAGTGATCTTGTGAGGTTATTCTCTTAGAGTATTTGGGATTATTAGAGTATTTACTCTAATTCTGTACTCTCTTTTGTACTCTTATTGTTATAGTAAAATTGCTCATCTCCGCTTATGGACGTAGGTCACTTTGACCGAACCACGTTAAATTTGTGTCTTATTTATATGCTTTAATTGTCGTCGTTATCAATTTCCATTGTCTTTGTTATTGTCGTTATACTGTTGTTAGGCTAAATTCCGCACTACCCGGGTTCCTGATCGTAACACACCATCTCGCATCTTGTCAATCAATACAATATCATCTGCAAATAGCATGCACCACGGCACCTCCCCCTTGGATGTGGCGCGTCAGTACGTCCATCGCCAGAGCAAACAAAAAAGGGCTGAGTGCCGACCTCTGATGCAACCCCATCATAACCGGAAAATAGTCTGAGTCCTTACCCACCGTCCTCACTTGGGTCTTTGCTCCATCATACACGTCCTTAATCAACCTAACGTAGGCAACAGGTACACCTCTAGCCTCCAAACATCTCCACAAAGCCTCATTCGAAGCTTTATCGTACGCCTTTTCTAAGTCGATAAACACCATATGCAAGACCTTCTTTCTCTCCCTATACTGCTCCATCAATCTCCTAACAAGGTGGATGGCTTCTGTAGTCGAACACCCCGACATAAACCCGAACTGGTTCTCGAAAATAGACACTCCTCCTCACCCTTCGCTCTACCACTCTCTCCCAGACTTTCATAGTATGGCAAAGCAGCTTGATACCCCGATAGTTATTGCAATTTTGGATATCACCCTTGTTCTTGTATACAGGAACCATCGTGCTCCACCTCCACTCTTCTGGCATCTTCTTCGTTCTAAAAAAGACATTAAATAACCTAGTGAACCACTCCATGCCTGCATTGCCCGCACTCTTCCAAAACTCCACCGGAATTTCATCCGACCCGGTCGCTTTGCCACTACTCATCTTACGCATAACCCCCTCAACTCATCAACTCTAATATGCTTACAATACCCAAAGTCACGATGACTCCCGGAAAGTTCCAAATCACCCAGTACAATGCTCATGTCCCCCTCCTCGTTCAAGAAACTATGGAAGTAGGTCTGCCATCTCCGGCAAATAAGCCCCTCATCCAACAAAACTCTACATTCTTCGTCCTTGATGTACTTCACTTGGTCCAAGTCACGCGCCTTCATTTCTCGCGCCTTGGCTTAAACTGAACAACCTCTTATCCCCACCTCGGCCCTCGAGTTCCTCATACAAACGACTAAAAGCTGGAGCCTTGGCCGCCGTAACTGCTAGCTTTGCCTTTTTCTTAGCCAACTTATAATGCTCCTTATTCGCCCTCTTCTCCTACTCGTCTACATTTTCCACTAGCTTTAGATACGCTGCTTTCTTGGTTTCCACTTTTCCTTGCACCTTACTATTCCACCACCAGTCTCCCTTGTGACCACCAGAGTAACCCTTTGAGACCCCTAATACCTCTCTCGTGGCTTCCCTAATGCACTTCGCAGTTGTGGTCCACATAGCGCTTGCGTCCCCACTACTCCTCCAAGCCCCCATAGTCAGCAGCTTGACCCCCAACTCCTGCGCGTTAGCTTCCATCCAGGCTCCCCACTTGATCCTATGTTGGTTATACACATCACCCTCTTCCTCTTCTTCCTCGTGATCTCAAGATCCATTACCAGGAGCCTATGAAGGGTCGAGAGGTTCTCACTCGGGATGATCTTGCAATCCGTGCAAAAACCTCTATCGGACTTCCTGCAGAGTAAATAATCAATCTGAGTCTCGGCCACCGAACTCCGGAAGGTGACCAAGTTCTCCCTCTTCTTCGAGAAACTCGAGTTTGCTATCACCAAATCAAATGCTCTAGCAAAGTCCAGCAGAGATGTTCCTCCTCCGTTTTTATCTCCAAAACCAAAGCCACCATGCACATCATCATACCTCCCAGACGTCGCTCCAATGTGGCCGTTGAAATCTACTCCTATGAAAAGCTTCTCGGTATGCGGGATACCACACACCATCTCATCCAAATCCTCCTAGAAACGCCTCTTGACTTCCTCATCCAAGCCTGCATGGGGTGCGTACACATTGACTATGTTCAAAGTAATACCTCCAACAACTAGCTTCATAGTCATCAGCCTGTCATTCACCCTCCTAGCCTCCACCACTAGTTCACGGAGGTCCTTATCAACCAAGATACCTACCCCGTTCCTGCCCCCCACCCTCCCAGAATACCATAGTTTGAACCTGTCTACATCCCGCGCCTTATCTCCTACCCACCTAGTCTCCTATACACAAGCTATATTTGGAGACCAACTATAGCTTAATAGTCTCATGTGATGTTTCAACAAATAAACATTACATGGAAATGTCAAAAAGACCAACTACTTCATGAGATTGGTGAGGGTGGTCTAATACCTGTTCATTTGCATGAGCCGGAAGTCCACCAACATAAACTCGCCGAGCATGCCTGGTAGCCTGATAACATAACAAGTAGGAAATACTTTAGGTTAAAAAAGAGGAACTCATAAGCATTGTGAGCTTGAAAAGGAAATTACTAACACATTACGAACCTGCTGTGTCATTGCCTGGATCGGCATAACAGGAAGAGCTCCAAACTACCACAGCCAACAGGGAACAAATAAATGAGAATCTTGATAAAAACATTGAATCCACACAACTGAAAAGGGAGTGCTGACAGTACCTGGCCCGATGCTAAAGGAAACATGTTAGGAAACATTCCAGGAATTGGTGGGTTGGTCCCAGGAACTTGACCTGCAGAGGTAACCAAGCTACAGTTGAAAATGACATCATGACATATAGTTTAAACGATACAAGAGTGAGTATTTACATTTCCCTTTAAAATGATTTTGAAAGAATAAATGAATTCTGTACTAAGAAATCTAAGTAAAACAATATAAGGAGTAGAAATTTTACAGTGTATTCAGAAAATATTTGTAACTACCAAACAGGCAATTCCTGGATGAAGATGAACAAGACCTGTATCAGTTCTTCCTTGTACATAAAAGCTACAGAAGTCGGCTCACACCCATTGTCAGCACATGGGGCAAGTAGCCCAACATTGCCTTCTTAGAACATAAGACAAGACATACAAAACAAACAAACAAACACCAAACACAACAAGAAACCAAAAACCCTCAGTTTCGGAATTACTTCACCAAGTAAACAATAAATAAAAACAAAACAGCCAATCTACTCCATGACTCAATACCAATATAGGTGGAAGTTAAAGAACCGAAAAGCTTACCAACACGTAACCATGTATTTTGATATGAACTTCCACACTATGTCAAAGAAAAATGTGGCAGTTATCAACATAATATCAGCTGTAACCTTAATGATGAAACAAGTACCTGCAGCAGCCGTAATGCCAGGTAACATTGCAGAGGTAGGAGGTGCCATATCAAAACCACTGATCCTTTTGCTGAAAAAATACAACATTAATAATAGCAATGAAGTGACAAAAACCTGACTGCCAACAAAACATTTAATGATCCACATAACATTGGCCACCCAATTAGATCTTGGGACATGTACAAAAAAAATATTAAAAAAAAAACAGTATAGCACAAGGCAAAACTTGCCAGTTCATTAACAGGGTCAATAGAGGAACAAGGAAAAAGTACGATTATGATTTTCTTGTGTTTCAGTAGATAAACACCACAAGATCCCACCATTATAATGTGGACATGACAGGACAAGAACAAGAGGGAGCACTTGACTCCAAGCACGGAAAGGAGAAAGAACTACTGCAACTTCGCAAGTATCATCCCAATATCTCAAGTTATAACCCTCAACCCCAGATTAATACAATAAATTTGACCAGTTGTGTTCTATTAAAGTTTCAGAAATAGCAGCGTGTATTACAAGACACTTAGCAGTTCCAAATACATTCTAAAGGTAGTTTTGTGTACAATATATCGAAAGCATGTCGTTTGACCTAAAATAAAGGTCAAGAGATCAATCGATGCAGGCTGTGAGAGTAAGAATCTAACTTTTTATCGAACAGGAGATTTCTCTGTTGAACAAGTCCGGTTGATATATGCTATCACCATCAAATACTGTAATATGAATATGCTAGTCCTTCAAAGAATTACAAGTCCTCGGTGTGATTTATGACACTACTATCCAACTTTCCAAGAAACAAAAATATTCTTGAGAGGGAAGCAAATCATGGATGCAGCTTTAATAGCTAATGTTGTCTAGATACTAGGCTAAGAGAGAGATACCAGGTATAATGTGCAACCTTGATATTCAGAAAGCATACGATCATGTGAAATGGGAATTCTTGCCGAAGGTCCTTAAAGATTTAGGTTTTGACAGGAAGTGGCTGAATTGGATTTGGCATTGTATCAGCACGGTCAGGTTCTCTGTACTTATAAATGGATCACCAGGGTTTCTTCGCCTCCCAACGAGGCCTTAGATAAGGAGATCCAATTTCTCCTTTCTTATTCTTGTTGGTAATGGAAGGACTTAGTAATATGACCAATGAAATGCATACAGGATTAGGGCCTCTCTATTTCACTTCTGCTCTATGCTGATAATTCTCTTATTTTTTGTGAGCCAGAGGTGAATCAATTGGGATATTTGAGACTGATTCTATGTGTGTTTGAAGGGGTTTCAGGACTTCATGTCAACTGGAACAAGAGCAGAAAATTCCAGTGAACACAGTTCAAGATTTGCAGAGTGTTGTTGCAGTTTTAGGGTGCCGAACAGAGTTTCTTCCTACAAGTTACCTGGGATTGCCTCTGCCAGCAAAATCAAATCTGAATTTATCTGGCAAGGAGTGGTGGATAGATGTGAAAAAAGATTGGCTAACTTGAAGAGACAATACCTTTCTTTGGGGGTATATTAATTAACAGCATATTGGATTCAATTCCAACATATACTATGTCCTTATTTCTCATGTCATCCAAAGTGGAGAAGAAAATAGACAAGCTAAGAAGGGAATTTTTATGGCAAGGCAATAAAGAAAACAAAGGGACTAATCTTGTCAAATGGAGCACTGTCACTGCAACAAAGGAACAAGGAGTTTTGGGCATAAAGAACTTAAGGATACAAAACAGAAGCCTTTTAATGAAGTAGCTTTGGAGATTTAGTGCAGAAGCCGACACCTTGTGGAGGAGAGCAATAGCAGAGAAATTTGGTTTCCTGAATGTATGTTGCACCAAGAGAGGTCCCTCTTCACAAGGAATTAGTATCTGGATGAACATAGGGTCCTTATGGCCTGTTTTCTCACAGCATATTGATTTCAAGATAGGTAATGGAAGGAAGATTTCCTTTTGGCAAGAAAATGGTTGGCGCATCTACCTTTCAGAGAACTTTTCCCTGTAATATACTGGTTGATACTTGACAAAGAATTCACAGTAGCACAATGTTGGGAAGACAATAGCTGGAATATAAAATTCAGAAGATACATAAACGATTGGGAACTAAATGAGGTTGCCAAATTCTTCAGTATACTACCTACTTCTGTAAGCTTAATCAGTAATGAAGACTGTTTGATATGGAGAGGCCACAACAAAGGGGTTTATACTGTCAAGAGATGTTACAACATATTCGTGAAAGAAGTAAATCAGTTTCTAATTGGTCCCTGGAAGCAAATCAGGAAATCAAAAGCTCCAATGAAAGTTAGTTGTTTTGAATGGTTGGTGGCTAAAAAGGCTTGTTTAACTCAGGACAATTTACAAAGAAGGGGATTCCAAATAGTTAACAGATACTATATGTGTAAAGAGGAGGCAGAAACTATCAATCATCTATGACCTCATGGTTCTCACCCACTTCATTGACCACTAGGCCACACCCTTGGGTGCATCGTAGATCTTTTGTATTGACACACATGGTTTTCTTTTTTTGTTATTTTCTGGGATGTAACCACAGTACTCTCTTAGTGCTGATTTTTTATATCTATAACACCTTATCGTTTCTCAAAAAAATAGCAAAATCCCCCTTATGGCATTTTAGTGCACTTCTATTTAAAGATTGGATAATTGTCATTTCGTTCCAGCCTGACAGATCAAAGAGTCCAATATAAGTTTGACAAAATTTCCAGTAAATTAGTATTTATATAAGGTAGAGCCAACTATAAACAGAAGATCAAATAGCAAAAACCACTCTTAAATGAATATTAGGATTTAAAAAGAGAGAATATAACATGGAAATGCTCCAGTGAGAAGACATATGAGCAAACTAACCTCTTGGATCGAGAACGCGATCGAGACCTTGATCTGTGCTCAGATCTACCCCTTGAGCGAGACCTATGTCTATGCCGACTCTCTCTATCTTTGTCGTGTTCTCTTTGCCTTTAAGCACAATCATATGAATATATTACAAACTCAAAATGAAGCATGTTTCCACTACCACTCAACAACGATTTGAAAATTTAAAGATCATAAAACATGATCCTCAAGTCTAAATCTAACTCAGAACAGTAACATAAAGCCAAATTAAAATCGCATAAACAATATAAATACTTAACATTGGAAAGTGCTATAGCTCTTACTGGTCATAATCTCGAGTTCGGTGACGATCATCATCATCTCTATCTCTGGTCCTCTCCTTCTCCCTTCTGTCGCTCCGATCCCTATGGCGGTCTCTGTGATGACGATCACGGTCCTTCTCCCTCTCTCTATCCCTGTCCTTGTCCCTATCCCTGTCCCGATCTCTGCCTCTATCCCTATCCCTGTCCCTGTCCCGGTCCTTATCACGCCCTCTCTCCCTATCCTTTTCCCTGCTTCTTGATGAATCCCTATTTTTTTCGTTCTCACGAGAACTATGCTGGAAGAGGCACACAAATAAATAAATAAATAAATAAATAAATAAATAAGCAAGTGAAGGGACCTAGAAAACTAGACATACACATACAAAACTAAGGATGGCAAAGGAATTATATTGTTGGTCAAATCATAATAGCTAAGATTGAAACTAAACAGATGAAAGAAGGCAAAAGACTAGAGCACCCAAAACTAATACTAAGACAAGCAGCCTGATTAAGACCCGGTCAATTCATTGGAAAATGTTCAAAACCCCGAAGACATTCCATTTGGGTGCTTTAGTTTTCACATATCGGAACTGCATATGCAGATAGAGTCCACCAATCTGCTTGTACAATAATGGTTTTTACACAGAAATCACTTCTTCTTAATACATGAATCATACTCGGGGTCATCCAGAGAACTCCATCCCTGCAGGGATGGAGTGACAAGTTGTTCTGAGAATTCAAGAGATCCGTGACACGAGCTGTTCATCACTATGACAGGTGTCAAGAGGAAGTGCAAGTATGCAGCTGCTGCACTCTCTCTCTCTCTCTTCTTTTTTTTTTTAAGAGAGGGGCTTATCCAGAATATTCATGAATCACATCCCATCAAGCAGATAGCAGCTTCAATATACCAGCCTAGAATACTTAAATCCTTACTATTAGAACGATCCACACAGTAAAAGGAGCAATACTCATAAATGACCTCTAAGATAAATCATTATAAAACACATAAACAAAATCAATGCACCATTCTAACGTAACACCTTTCTCTGCCAATAAAAGCCGCAAAATCAGACTTTTCAGATACAGCCTCTTCTTTTTTCCTTTTATTTTTTNATCTCTTTTTGATGACAGTGGTGTGGGCTAGCATGCGTGCACCTCCACTATTTCACCGGGTACGCAGGGGCGGACCCACATAGGGTCAAGAGGGTTCAAATGAACCCGCTTCGTCAAAAAATAACACTATATATATAAGTTTATTTTATATTTCTAAGAAAGTTTTATGCATAAAAATTATTTTGACCCAGCTTGAAACATTGACGACGAATAGCCTGTTGGCAAAGTGGGTTCAAATTTTCCCCAAGGTCTTGAGTTCGAAACCAGTCAGAACTCTTTTTTTTTATACAGTTTTCCTATTTAAATACGACGTCGTTTTAGTTATTATATCTAAAATACAGCGACCCCAATTCCCAAACTAACAGCCCCAATTCCGAAATCCTTCTCTGTTCTCTGCCTATTTCATAAAAAATATTCGTTGCCTCTCTCTCTCCCTCCCTTTCTCTCTCTCTACTGAATCTTTTAGTTCAATTTCAAAGTCATAATGCTTCCTTCCATAGCCGTCTCCTGCCATTAGCCAATATCGTTTCGTGTTGATTGTCACCTCTCACTCTCTCACCGTCAACTATCACCATTAGGTTTCTCTCTGATTTCTAATCTTTTTCTTGTACATATAAATTAGGTCTATCTTATCATTAAGTGATTTAGGGATGACTATAACACATTGGATTCGGATTAATCTTGTTTTCTAAGTGAATGAGTGTATCTGTGTTTGGCTAACTGCATTATATAGGTGTTCCTTTCAATTAACTCAATTATTCCATGATATAAGTAATCTGCTTTAAAATACTTGCCCGTCACTAGAAAATACATTGCTGATTTTTTATTTGTTCTCTCTGTTGCTTCAAGAAAATTTATGATGAAAACAATAACTCCTGTAAAGACATTTTGAACTTCCAAAGTTGTGGTCCAAAGCTCTTTAATAATGATTAAAATCTCATCTAACTGTTTTATAATATAATGATATGTAAAATAAAAGAAAATTAAATTATTGGTGAAGAATGAATAAATGTTAGTTTAAATTTAAGTTTAATTAAATTTATCTTCTAATTCGAATTCTAATTTGGTAATCCAGTTTATGTTACAATGAAGAGATTTTATACTTTGGTATCTTCCAAGTTGCCACAATCAAGTTCATACTTTCTAATTGCGACTCCCGTGGAAGAAAATTTGAACCAATTAGTAGAACAACCTCAATCCTCTAAAAACAAAAACAAGGAATAGATCTCGATTCTTTAAAGACTGATCAAAAGGAGAGATTACCCATTAGAGACTTTCATCCTAATGAGCGTGAAGAGATTAGAAGAGAATACCTCTGAAGAGGTCCTTGCCAACCCCGATATCATAAGTTTCCTCAAAGAGATTTTTCGGGCTTAAAGCGTCGTTTCAATCCTAAATGGTTTAAAGGATATCATAATTGGTTGGAGTATAGTGTGATAGAAGATGCAACTTATTGTTTGTATTGTTACTTATTTCAAGATGAAGGCATTCATCAAGGTAGAGGTGATGTATTTTCAAGTTTAGGATTTAAGAGTTGGCACAAAAAGAACATATTAGATATGCATGGGTCGAGCAGTATTCATAATCAGGCAAAAAGGAAATGTGAAGATCTATTAAAACAAAAACAGTAAATTCAAACTTCATTTGATAGGCAATCCAGTCAAACCAAGCTCGAATACAAAATTCGCTTGAAGGCTTCAATTGAGGTGGTGAGACTCCTATTGAATCAAGGATTGGCATTCCGTGGACATCGTGAAGATGAATCATCATTAAACAAGGGTAACTTTCTTGAGATTCTTTTATGATATGCAAAGAGGTGCGATAAAATCCGTGATCTTGTGTTGAAAAAGGCTCCAAAGAATGAACAGTTGACTTCTCATAAAATTCAGAAAGACATTATCATTGCATGTAAAATTGAAACAGTTAAAGCAATTATGGACGATATAAATGGAGACTTTTTTGCATTGCTAGTTGATGAATCATGTGATGCATCACGCAAAGAGCAATTAGCTATTGTCATGCGATATGTTAATAGATGTGGATCTGTGGTGGAGCATTTTATTGGGATCATTCATGTTCGTAATACTACTGCTTTGTGTTTAAAGAAAGCAATTGTTGATTACCTTGCTCAAAATTCTTCGAATTTATCTTATGTGCGTGGACAGTGCTATGATGGAGCAAGCAACATGCAAGGGGATTTACGTGGCCTCAAAACTTTGATTCAACAAAAAAGTAAATATGCTTATTCCATTCATTGTTTTGCACACCAACTTCAATTGACTCTTGTTGAGGTATTCAAAAAGTGTCTTGAAGTGGGAGAACTTGTATTGTTGGTTTCTAATGTATTGAATATAGTGGGAGGTTCTTTTAAACGTATGGATTATCTTCGAGAATCTCAAGCAGAAAAAGTTCAAGAGGCATTAGACATGTGTGAACTTGAAACTGGTAGGGGTTTGAATCAAGAACTTGGTCTTGCTAGAGCTGCCGATACTCGTTGGGGTTCACACTACAAATCTTTTAAGAACTTTATTTCTATGTTTGCCTCAATTATTGATGTTCTTGATACTATCGTTGTTGATGCCCGGACTTTAGAAGAAAGGGCTAAGGCAAAGGGATATCTTAGCACTTGTCAAACATTTGAGGTTGCTTTCATGTTGCACCTAANCTCATTTTCCAGTTTTGACATAAACAAGATATTGAGGATGGCTGAATTGTATCCTGATGATTTTGATGATAATATAACGGTTACACTCAAGAATCAGCTTGAAACTTATATTGTTGATGTTCGTGATGTTGATGAAAGGTTCTCAAATCTACAAGGGCTTGTTGATCTTTCTGAAATACTAGTTAAGACAAAGAAGCATTTGAATTATCCATTTGTGTTTCGCCTTGTGAAATTTGCTTTGCTTCTACCTGTTGCCACTCCTACCGTTGAAAAAACTTTTTCCGCGATGAAGTTGATCAAGAGTGAATTGTGAAACCGAATGAATGACGAATTCATGAGCGGTTGTTTGGTACCTTATGTAGAAAGAAAAATATTTAACATTTTTTCTGATGAGACTACTATGAATACGTTTCAGGAAATGAAAACTCGTAGAGGACAGTTGTAATAATATATTTTATTAATATATTCTTTTGTTGACCTCTTTATATATTTGCTTCTTAAGCTTGATAAAAACCTGGGTCCGCCGGGTACCTGCTACCTCCGACCAAATGCAAGTTACAGGTCAACTTGCCAAGTCTTATGCATATGAGAACAAATCACCTAGTGCTTTTTGTCTAGTCAGATTTGAACATGAGACCTTATGGTTCTTCCCCTGCTTTAATGACCAATAAGCCACACCCTTGGGTGCTCAACTACTTCCCTACTTTAATGACCAATAAACCACATCCTTGAGTGCTCAACTACTTTATCTCTTAAATAGCTCGAATTGAAGAAGAAGAAGAAAACGCGAAAACACACGTGCTAGGTATGAATTTATGATATGAAAAAGAGGATCATCAAAGAGAGAGAGAAGTTAGTAGTACCTGAGACTTGGAGTCGCTGTAATCGTCCGGGGTAGGACCATGGCTGCTTCTGGATTTGGGAGGCAGAGAAGAGCCGCCGGCGTAATTGTCTATGTCTTCTCCATTGCCTTCATAGTCCGGCATCTCTTGACTGGAATTCTTAGTCCAGCTTTGTGTAATCTTCTTCTAGAATTGAACTTTTGCTTCTCTTCTTCGCCTTCCGATCTTCTACCTTAGAAGGAGCTGAGTTCAGTTCTCCTGACTCGTGAGGGAACAGAAAATTAGGGCTCATAAACGGTTGCACCGATCTTTTCAATTTTAAGTGAGTGCAGAGAGGGTGAGTGAGACTTTTGGTAAAAAGGATACAACCGTAAACTTATCGCTTCACCCCCCAATCCCTTTAATAGCTTGTTTGGATTGTTAAGGGTAGTTTCGTAATGTTTGATATTATATTATATTATTTGATGAATGTATTGTTTGTTGTGTCTCGTGATATTACCCATTAACAAAATAAAGAATAAACTTATAATATTACTAAAAAAAATAGGATACGGAGTAAAATTATTATATAAAAAAAATAAATGATAAAATATAATTATTTAATAATAAGGAAGAGCAAAATGACAGAAAAAAGTAAGGTATTGATGCCACCACACGAAATATGTTATTTCATAAAGTGACATTTTTTATCGTTACGTAACGATAGATTTAACAATACGATACAATAAAATCTAAATAACAATCAAAATAAATATTGTATTTAAAGTAACAATACGATACAATACAATAGATAACAACCATCCAAATAAGCTTTAAGTCTCCTATCTGTACCCGTGTGAATAATTTTTATAACAAAGTATTCTACTTCAATTTTTGTTTACTATAGTTACTCCATTTCAATTTGTGTACTTTGATTAGACGCTGAATTTTAAAAAGTTTTTTTAAAAATTGTCATTATAAATGTCATAACATTATATGACATATTATGCATGTCATATGTTTGAACCTTTCTAAAGATAAAAGCTTGATACTTAAGTGGAGAAAAATAAAGAGGCGAACTCATAATCCACCGAAATTTAAACGATAAACTATTGGCCTTGCATTTTTAGGTCTTTAGAGCTTGTGTTTTTAAATGTGCTATAATATTTGTATGATTATATACAAGCTTGTAATTAATGATATCCCAATAAGTTCAAATTAAATTATTTTTAAATTTTAAAAAATACCTTTTTTTAAAGTGGACTAATAAGAGAAGAATATCACTCTTTTTAATCGAATGGAATAGGTAATATCATACAGAGCTCTAAGGGTCGTTTCGAAATCACGAAATCATTAAAATTATAAGGTGCATTGTGATTCAACTTATGAATTATTATTATTATTATTATTATTATTATTATTATTATTATTATTATCATCATCATCATCATTATTATTACTATTATGAGAAAAAGAATTCTTGGGGCGAGTTAAGTAATTTATAAAGTTTGGATTATAAGCATAAACTTTAATTCATATCAGGATCTTGAACCTGATAATTTTACATATAATCATTATAGAAAACATGCCTGAAGCGGAAGCCATTATCACGAAGCGGAAGTGTTAATTAAAATTATTTTCTCGCTCATTGTCCTAACTTTCGTTACTGTCGCCTTTAATGATGGAATAAAAAGAATAGAAAAAAAGGCGGTAACCCCTAATGGGTGGGGAGAGGACCAATTTATAGAGTAATTGACCTAATTCGGTACGTCCATCAAGTAACCGATCTGACGGATGAAATTTGCTCAGTAATTAAATATTAATTACGGGCCTTAAACCTATTGGGCCACCCATGTACGTAGAAAAACCTTACATTCTCCCACTTAGCCCAATAATCACATAATATTAATATTTAATATAAGAACATTAGTTGCGCATAAACAAATCTCTTCTATAATGTCCATCATACATACCATAATACGATAAACTATTAAATGTGAGTTATGGAGGTTATATATAGTTTGTCTACATATTCTCTTCCATATACTACAACGTTAGCAACTCATCGGTCCGGGTCCATAAGCTATAAAATATTATGGTCCACAATAATGTCTCATTGAGACCTATTCTATAATATCTTAAAACAATAATATGTACACCATTATGAGAAACAGGAAATCATCAATGTATATCAAAAATGCATAAATGAGCTCGGAATGTCAAAATATCATAAATACATCAATTATAAATACATCCAAGACCCGGTCTATATACATGTTCCTTAAATATCTTTAGCTGTAAACCTTTCGTTAATGGATCTACAATCATAAGATTAGTTTTAATATGCTCAAGTGACACTCTTTGTTTCCGAACCTCCTCATTGGTAGTAGAGTACTTTAATTCCATATGTTTGGCACCTTTGGAGTACTTATCGTTCTTAGAAAAAAATATTGTTACAGGATTATCACAATAAATTTTCAGCGGCTTGGTAATGGTATTGACACCCCCAAGTCCTGAAATAAAGTTTCGCAGCCATAATGCATGAATTGTGGCTTCAAAACATGCCACAAATTCTGCTTCCATCGTGGATGTAGCAATGACAGACTGTTTGGCACTCTTCCACGATATTGCTCTTTTAGCTAATTGGAACAAATAACCAAACGTGGACTTTCTAGTATCAATACATTCAGTAAAATCTGAATTCAAGTATCCAACAACTTCCATGATCTCCTATGCATGAGCATGTAATCCTTCGTTCCTTTCAGGTACCTCAAAACTTTCTTTGTAACTTTCGATCAATTCATGGGTTACTCTGATTTCTTCCCAGCATTCCGACCGCAAAACTAATATCCGGTCTTGTGCAAGTCTGAGCATACATGAGACTACCAACAATAGAAGAGTAAGGAATTGATTTCATTTCTTTTCGTTCTACATCATTCTTAGGGCATTGCATGAGACTAAATTTGTCCCCTTTTTGAATCGGAACAATTCATGTTGAACAGTTGTTCATGTTAAACCTCTCTAGCACTCTTTCGATATAGCCTTTTTGAGACAATCCCAATAATCTTTGAGATCTATCACGGAATATTTCTATTCCTATCATGTAAGATGTCTCACACATATCTTTTATTTCAAAATTCTTAGAGAGAAAATATTTAGTCTCATGCAATATGCCTAAATCATTAGCAGCAAGTAGAATATCATCAACATATTGGACTAAAAATATAAACTTGCTCCACTGATCTTTTGGTATATACACCGATCAACGGTAATTTTCACAAATCCAAAAGATGTTATGGTATCATTAAACTTTATATACCATAGTCGTGCGACTTGTTTAAGTCCATATATTGACTTCTTCAGTTTACACACTATTTGACCTTTTTTTTAGTTTCAAAACCCCTGGTTGGTCCATATAAACTTCCTCCTCGAGGTCTCCATTAAGAAAGGCAGTTTTCACATTCATTTGGTGTAACTCTAAATCATAATGAGCCATCAAAGCCATAATAATTCTTAACGAGTCTTTCTTTGAGACCGGTGAAAAGGTCTCTTTATAATCAATGACTCCTTTCTGAGTATAACTCTTGGCAACAAGTCTAGCTTTATATCTTTCAATATTGTAGTTCGAATCGCATTTGGTCTTAAAGACCCATCTACACCCGATTCTTTTAGAACTTTTTGGCAATTCAACAAGATCCCAAACTTTATTGTATTCCATGGATTTTAACTCTTCCTTCATGGTATCAATCCATTTGTCATACTCATTACTTTCTATGGCTTGTGAAAATGAAATTGGATCCTTGTTAAGGCCAATGTCAAAATCTAACTCTTACAAATAAACCACGTAAGCATCCGAAATAACTGATTTTCTTACTCTTTGAGATTTTCTTAATGACATTTCTTGTGGTTCATTTATGTAAGATATTTGTGAGTTAGTTTCTTCATGAAGTGTTTCATCCAAATGATGCTCGGTGTTGTCAAAGTATTCTTCATATTTGGTACTTGTGTGGAAGTAGGCACATTCGCGGGTAATGGAACATTGACCCTCACATGTTTTATTTCCACACTTTATTTTTCAACACTCTTACTAACTTCACCATTCTCAATGAATTTTGCATTACCGGTTTCAACAATTCTCAAACTATGGTTTGGACAGTAAAACACATACCCTTTAGATTTATTTGGGTAACCAATAAAGTAACACTTACTGTTCGTGAATCTAATTTATTTTCTTGTGGATTATAAACTCTAGCTTCGCTGGGCAAGCCCAAACATGCAAGTGCCTTAAATGAGGTTTCATTCCTGTCCACAGTTCAAAAGGAGTCTTTGGAACTGCCTTACTAGGAACCCTATTTAATAAATATACAGCGATTTTAAGAGCATACATCCACAATGATTTAGGTAATATGGAATTACTCATCATACTCCTAACCATATCCATAAGTGTTCGATTACGCCTTTTTGCAATACCATTTTGTTGAGATGTTCTGTCACGAACTAATTTTCTCTCCGTATGACGTCGTGACGGTACCTAGTCTCTACGACTAGGTAAGCCTAACATTTTACGGAATAATAAAATGAAAACATAAATTTAACAACTAACTGGGTATCATACCGCTTGGCATGTAAAATAACCAACTATTCAAAAATACACATCAAATTCCCAAAACCCGAAACATCGTGAATCACAAACTATAGAAGGAAGTCTAGTATCTCTATACATCAGAGTCTAACAAAAAAAAGAAATACATAAGATAATGGACATGTGAAGAGTAGAAATGGGACTCTGAGGTCTGCTTACGCGGAAGATATATCTTGAAGTCTCCAAAGTTGTCACGGTTCACTGATAGTATGGCTGATAAGGAGCACCTGGATCTACACACAATGGAAAAAAACATGTGCAGAAGAGTAGCATGAGTACACCACAATCGGTACCCAGTAAGTATCAAGCCTAACCTCGGTCGAGTAGTGACGAGGTCAGGTCAGGGTCCTACTGGTATATATATATAATAAAACAAGGTAGAATAAAATACCGCAGTAAAGTAAATACTGAAATTTAACAGGAATGAAATCATAGAAGACAACAGCTCAGTACACAGAGATAACAATAGGGGATCTCCCAAGATACCGTCTCGTAGTCCCAAACGTAAATGTGCAGGGGAATCTCCCGAAATACCGTTCCGTATTCCCAAAGTAAATATGCAGTACATGGGGATCTCCCGAAATAACGTTCCGTAGTCCCAAAGTAAATATGCAGTATAGGGGGATCTACCGGAATACCGTTCCGTAGTCCCAAAGTAAATATGCAGTATAGGGGGATCTACCGGAATACCGTTCCGTAGTCCCAAAAGTAAATATGCAGCTCAAATAATAGAA